TTTTTAATGAAGTGTAAGCTAGAACACTGAATCTCAAAAATTCATGCTACAAAAGTATGTTGTGATGTGGTATAGTTATTCATCATTCTGTTATATGCTCACTTCTTTGTTTCTCTAATATCTACTGCTGACATCTTTGGCATCAATAACTATGCTTTGTGTTTTCCTCAGAGGAACTGTATTCTTAAGTATTACAAGAAATTCCTTGGTAGGGAAAAAGATATTCTGCTCCAAGATGTCAAAATTATTGGAATAAAAAGTTTTAAATTAGAAGAAGAGGAGATTGGATTTATATCCAACCCTTCACTCGGAGGCTCAGAGCGGCCTAGAAACTCCTTTCCCTTCCCCTCTCCACAACAGACACCCTGTGAGGTAGGTGGGGCTGAGACAGCTCTGAGAGAACTGCTCTTCCAAGGACAGCTCTGACAGAACTATGGCTTGCCCAAGGTGATCCAGCAGTTGCAAGCAGAGGAGCGGGGAATCAAACCTGGTTCTCCCAGATTAGAGTCCGCGCACTTAACCACTATACCAAACTGGCTCTGGAATAAAAAACCTATTTTACTGGAATAAAAAACCTATCTCAGACCTGATTTAAAGGAGGCCAAAAAACACTGACTTATGAGGATTTGCTCAAGCACAGCGTCTCATTTAAGATAGGCCACAGCTATGGCCTACTGTAAAAAGAGAGCAAAGTCGCATGGGTGAGGAGTTTTTGCCACACCAGCATCATGTTTAAATTAGCCCTAAGGGGATTTGTAGAAGGATGAGAGATACAGCTGCGCAGCTTGACCATTAGAGGGCGTCAGACACTCTAAACCTTACAGCACCCACTTGATCTTTACAGAATATAATTTGTATTTTTAGGAGGTGAAATCCTAGCAAGTAAGAATTCCCAGCACTTCAAGCATATTTGGCAGCAATAATTGTGGTATCTGTGACCAATGCACAGTAGAACACCTTCAGAGATGGAGTCCAGCTCAACTAGGGTGAAGTACTGCATATTCTAAGATGGTATGCATGTGTCACAATACAAGCACTAAAAATTCCTTATGCAACATCTTCCAAGTTACAAAAACTTGCAGCATGTAGATCACCTAGTTGATCTAAGGATTCAGATACAAAGGCTACCCTGATTCAGTACCCACAGTATAAACAGACATCAAATGTAGATTCATTAGACTTGTTTAACCACCCTCTGTGACTTGCAGTGAACAACAGTAATTCATGTTTGTGGATGAAAGTTGAGATTAACTTCTGTGTCAGATAATTGATAGTTCAGAAAGGAGGGAATAATTGTTCTGGCTTCGTTAACTCCAGAGTACAGCATGCAGGTGAAACATAATTTCACCCACATTCAGAAACAAATGTCTGTATTTGACTTTTATATACAATGTTCAGTTTTGAAGAATACTTTTTAAATGTTAATTTTGCTTTAAAAATCATTAATAAATGCTAAATATCATCTTTTTGTCTTATTACATCTTGCTTTCCCTAAAATCCCTATAACCAACACTATAAGAGGCAATGTTGAAACGAAATGCAAAACAATTTAAAGATCTGAAATTTTGCAAGAAAATTCAAGCAAGTAAAAGTTACTTCAGAATGCCCCCTCCCATTAGATTGCAACATTTGTGTAAGAAGAGCTATGTGTCTATGTGGGAACCACTTTTTTTTTTGAGATCTTGAAGAACTACTGCCAGAGTAGGCAATTCTAAGCTTAGAGGCACCCATAAGTGTGACTTGGTATAAGGCAGAACAAACTCTGAATCCAGTGGCACTTTTAAGACCAACAAAGTTTAATTCTGGGTATAAGATCTCGTTTGCATGCACACTTCTTCAGACACATTGAAACAGACTTCGCCAACCATGACATATAGGTGGTGGGGGGGTTAGTTGCCACGAAGGGCTAATTAGAATCAATATGCATAAGTAACCGAACAATAAGTATAGCTAAAATTGGATTAAAGCAATTGGTAAGATCTGAGAATAGCAGCAAATTAGCATATAGATAATAAAAGAGTTAACAGATGCGAGAACGGAGTGACTTACCATGTGTAGGTGAGATAAGAATCCGATATCTCTGTTAAGCCCTGGGTGTTCCATTGTCCTGAGTGTTGTAATAACTTGTAATTCAGCAATCTCCCAGTCTACTGTGTTTCTGAAATTCCTTTGCAATAAAACAGCTACTTTGAGGTTGCCTATTGAGAGTTTGAAATGTTCTACAGGTTTCTCAGTTTTGTGATTTTCGATATCAGATTTGTGTTCATTTATCCTTTGGCCTAGGGTTTTACCTGTTTGTCCTATCTAGAGAACTGAAGGCCATTGTTGGCATTTAATGGCATATACAATGTTAGAAGATGAGCAAGTGAATGAGCCTGAGATGGTGTAGTTGATGTTGTTAGGTCCAGTGCTTGTGGCATACGTGACAGCAAAATTGGCATATGGGTTTATTGCAAGCTCTGGTACCAGTGTCCATGTTCAAATTAGATGTTGTATTATTGTATAAGGCAGCTTCCTTTGTTTACATTTCAGTTTTTCTTTTTGTCCTCTCATCTGAAGCCACCAGCAACTCTCTATGTTTAAATTCATAATTAAAAGCACAAATAGGTGGTTTTCTGACAGCGAGTAGCATCTTCTTACTCTCATACCTTTGTTGTTGCAGTGACTAAAGTGCCACTGTTTGACCTGTAGGTGTCACCCTCAGCCAAGTTATTTGTGTAGTTTACACTCTACTCTTTCACATGCCAACAATGTGCACTTGAAAAATATGCCTCCCCTTATAAGTTATAACGTTTGCTGGGTTTTCCAGAAGAAATTCCACTGATGAGATGTTGATGTAATGGGAGAAGCAATAAATGTCCAACTTCTTTTCCTCACATTTATTAAAAGCCCTCTTGAATTGGGGAGATATGATCAACTTTTGAAGTCCTGACAGGTATTTATGGGCCACAGAAGCTTTTTTAAGAACAGGTAAGTTCCTAGCCCTATATTGTGACAAATGGAAAAATACAATTGCTCTACCCCATTTCCTAAGAAGATTTTACATTTAGAAAATAGTCAACATAATAATTCCATGTAAAACTATCACCCAGTTGATCCTAGAGAGTATTTGTTACAATGTAAAGTATGCGTGTGCCAGTGAGTATGTTTGAACAACACTTCTCTTATACGGAAGAGTGGCAAAATTTTGGTGTGTATTAAGCTATAATGAACGGGAAGAACCGATTTTTCACTTTTCTTCATTGTAAGTTGGTCCAGCACAGGACTGGCTACTTGGTATAGTTTTAAATTACTATCTGAACAAACTCTTTATTTCATTCTACACCCTTACTTGAGTGCTACAAAGAGCTAGTTTTCCACAAGGCCTTTTAGAATATCTCCATAGTATTGTTCAGTTTTCCCAGACCCATTAATGTGTTGTTTCTCAATACTTTATGCACATCAAGGCACATTTGTGTAAAGATTTAGGGGGGATTTTTTCGTTGCAACTTAAAATACTCAGTAATTTAATAGCTCATCAATATCACAGATACAAGTGCCATTTACAAAAGGCATTTTTAAAAATATTTTTGCATTGCAGTAATTTCCTCCACACTTTCAATGCCGATAGATAGATAGATAGATAGATAGATAGATAGATAGATAGATAGATAGATAGATAGAGATACACACACACACACACAACACAGGCAGTTTATGAGGTTATATGGGGAAGCACGTGACACAATATTAGTTTCTCCTCGGAAGACGCAAAGTTCCCCCCCCCCAAGAGAGATACCACGTGAGTACAGAAGGCGGGAAGGTGAGGCGGGTTGGATGAGGCACCGGGATTCCTCGAAACGCCGTTCCTTGGAAAGCGAAGCTGAAATGGCTCGTGGGACAGTCCTCCTCGGGAACGGAGCAAGGGGTGGCGCTTCATGTCTTTACGTGTTTTCACGACGACCCTTTAGCGTTTTCCCCCTCCTGTGCCGTTCGTATAATCTCCGCGCCTTTTGTTGCCCCCCTACACGTAGCAGCAAAGCAAAGGCCCGGGGGGGTGGAGGGTTGATGCATCTTCAGCTTCGAGGAGTACAACAAAAATAAAAGGCTCTGCGGTTCCCGATGCTTCAGGGGTGGAAACGGAGGGGGGGGAGGAAGCGCGCGAGAGTTTTTCTGATCTTTGTAAGCCACGTAGCTGCAGCAGGCCAGCCCCTGCCCCCCCCCCCTCGAAAAGGAGGGGACCTCTTGCCACGTTCTCTTGCTGAAAAGCTCTTTATTCCAGTTTACACTACCAACTGGTGCCCATCTAGGAACTGCTTGCGTCCTTTCCCCTACCCACCGCTTCGCGGTGCAGTCTTTAGCTTCTTTGTCGATTGCTGAAGGGTTGGTTTTTTTTTAAAAAAAAATCTTCCGGTTTCAGCGCATGGGCATACATGCGCTTAAGAAATTTCTTTTTTTTAAAAAAGGCAGTGCTTACAGCATCCTGGTGGAGGCAGGAACAAGAGGTGGGGGCTCCAGCAGCCTGGATGGTGGTGGCAAGCAGGTGGTGGAGATGGCGCCCGAGCAGCACCCGGGAAGGGGGGGGGGGTGTTAGGTTATGATCACCAGCGTTGTTTACATTCCCAAGTCTCTGTCTCCGGGCGGGCAGAAAACTTTGCAGGGGGTCTGATCATGTGTTGCCTGCCTCACCCCCCCCACATCCTCCCCACCTCAACCTCCGCGGACGATCGCGTATACAACCACCTAAGCCGGACCGCGCAGGCAAAGAGGATGTCTTCGAGGGTGAGTAGACAGCATCTCCCTGAGGCTCCAAAGCCGCCTTGTCTCCCCCCTCTCTGGCTGGCCCACTTCCCAGGGTTGTACTGTGATCAAACCCTCCAGCTTGGAGGGGGCTGAGCTCTTGCGCTTGAACCCGCCTCCGCCAGATCTCATTTCCCTAAAAGAAAAAAAGAGAGCGAGAGGAGAGGGGGGGGGGAATCTCCCATCTCTTTCCATTTCTCTTTTCCCCCCCTCCCCTTTCCCATTCCTGTTTTCCCCCCCCTTACAGTTCCGTGGAGCATTTCCCGGGACCTGCCAGCATGCCTGCATCCAGGGGGGGGCTGCTGTTCCTTTCCTTCCTGGTCCTGGGACAAGCAATGGATTTTACAGATTACAGCTATGTCATAGAAGAAGAGGAAGAAGACACTGATCCAATTGACTATAAGGACCCTTGCAAAGCTGGTAAGGCTTGGGAAGGGGGAAAGGGGGAGACACCCCACTGCCAGCAACGCAGCCGTTCTTCCTGCTGTGATGATCTCCTTTTGCAAATGTATTTCTTCTTTTTTTGTTATTGGGGGTGGGCAAAGGGGAAGCGGTGGTCTTTTGTGTGTCTGGAAACTGCATCGAGGCTCTGAAAAGGGCAGAGGGGCTGGTTGAACCTGGGTCATGCACGTTGCCTAGTTGGCAGTGCAGCTTGCAGACAAAAGAAATGAAGAAAGTTTTTTTTCTTCTCTCCACTCCCCCCCTCCTTTTTCTCCTCTCTAGACTATACTTAGACTATAAAGTTCAGGCTGAGAAAGAAAGACAGTCTTTGGTATGCAAACTCCAGAGCTTTAGAAGCAATGCTTTGTAGAAGGTCTCTTTCTCCTGCCTCTGCTGCAGGAAATTAGATTATGCTTCTCCTTCTGTAAATTATTTTTTTCTTCTTCCCCATCCCCTAACAATTTTTGTTAGAGCACAGAGGTCTTTGTGTGGTGGTGATGGCCAGAGGCCTTGTGTGTTTTCTGTATATGTCTGCCGAGGGAGTGCATGTTCATTGAAGGAAAGTAAACAGACTCTGCAAGGGATAAAGATGAGAAAGTTGTCAGGATGCCCCCTTAATGCATCTCTTTATGCTTAGAAGGTGAAGGGAAGTGTGCACGGACCTAGCTCACCTTTTTTATACTCTCAAACATTTCCTGTCTCCAAGCAATTTTCCCATTTCACTACTGGTTGCAGCTGTCAAAAGAAGCATGTTTTTCAGGCTCACAGAACACTCATCCTCCATTGCTCTCCCGGTACTTCTTGAACATTTAAATCATTATTTGGAGCATGTGTATGATTGCGTGCATGCACTTACATGGGGAATGTATTTGTGGTTGTGTACACAAACCTATGTGAATGTGTATGTCTGTGATAAAACATTTGCGGATCACAGTTTCTCATGTTCAGATGGCAGTTTCCTCTGTCCAGTGCTACAGTGTGACATGTCCTGTCTGTCCCCCCCACACCATATGCGTGTACAAGCAGGGGCTGTGAAAATTACACAGTCCACTCTAATTGTTGTCACCTGCATGGACTGCCATGAACTTACTCAGCAGTATTCTTGTGCACATGTAGTGCAAGGGACTGAACTTGATAAAATAGTGGCTCTGATCTGGTAACTTCAGACATGTCCAGAGGGCTGTAAATAAAGGGCATGGATTTTCATCACTAGCCTAAGGGGGTGCAGTTCCATTGAACCTGTGCTCCACTGAGCAGTACTGTAATCCTGATACTAATACAATCAGTAGTGGAACTCTGAATGACTTCTGATAGTGCCAGCTCAGGCTGCTGTTGAAGTTAAAATAGATGCCCCTGTCTGATGAAAGGCTTATTGGTTTCTAATGTGCTACTGGACTTGAATCTAGTTGTTCTGCTGTGGACCAGCACAGCTACCCTCTGCAACTAATCTCCCCCCCCCCCTTTCAGAGAAACAGCTACAGGGAGACAAGTGTAAAAGAAGTAGGCAGGCTGTGCTATTGGACCATAATGGCAGAAGATCTGAAGCATTGTTTTTAGCTTTTAGATACATTTGTAAGCACATCTGATGTGAAGTTACAAGAGAGCCAGGGCTATTGCCCTAAGATTTCTCTGAGGTGATGTAGACTAATAAATGCAGAGTTGTCTTTCACTACTGTGGTTATCCTAATAGTCTGTCCTGAGGGGTGGTTAAATGATGGTAAGAGTCAAAATGTAGTGATTTTTGACAGCAGGCTTGTGGATGCTATCCCTAGCTATGTACTGTCCCATCACAGCCTTCTTGTTTTCCCAGCTGTATCATGTGGATAGTTCTGTTTCCCTTAAAGAAGGACTGTAGCTCAGTGGCAGAGCCTCTGCTTGGCATGCAGGAGGTCCCAGATTCATTCCCCGGTATCTCCAGTTAAAAGGACCAGGCAGTAGGTGATGTGAAAGATCTCTGCATGAGATCTTGGAGAGCCCCTCTGCCAGTCTGAGCAGACAGTAGTGACTTCAGTGGACCAAGGATCTGATTCAGTATAAGGCAGCTTCATGCCTTACCAAAAAATCCTGTTGCCTTATGAATCAAATAAATGTACTGGTGGTTGGGTGGCCTGCACAATCTTACTTTACTTCCAGTTATAATCTGCCTGACATCCTCTCTGCCAATTCATATAAAGCTCTATGCCTTTCCAAAGTTGGAGCAATGGGAGTACAGGTTCCACTTGGGCTAATCCTATTATGATCCTAATATGGAGTTAATATTTATACTATAAGGTTGCAGCATTAAAGACAACCTTCGGAGTCCTTAACATTTGCATACTTTATGGTATGTAGATATTCCATCCACTGGACGCAGTAGGCCTATTTTATTTTAATTAGATCACATTCTGTCTTGGAGCAGGGAACAGTGCTCTTAAAACCAAAATAAATAAAAACAGAATAGGATCCTTTGAAGTACAGAACACTGTATACTGTAAACCATCCATAATGGTTCAGCCTTAGGAAAAGGCTTCTTAAAATGTTGTTATCTTCACTTTTTTTAAAGTGCTTGATTGAAAGTGAGAATAGCAATAGATATGTTTAGAATTGGTTCTGAGAGAGACAAATACTTTTTTTGGAGTTTCAGCATAGAATTGGGACAGATGCCATCCTGTTTCTACATGCCACATTGGTCTCTGAAGTACTTTTATCTGATCCAGAGGCTAGAGGCCAAATTCTAAGCATGGTTTTAAAACTACTACGGAATTTCTACCTATTACAGTTACTGGCATAAACTTGGAAGTGTGATGTGGCTTGATTCTGTGACTAGTAGCTGAAAGCCAAATAGTTTCACATTTGTTAGAGCTTCAAATGCCATTCTTTTGAAGCCCATCTTGTTATTTTAACAGTCTGATACATGTTAACTATGTTGTGATATTTTTCTGGGTGGCCCCCCAGCTTGCCACCCTGGCAGACCAGGTTGCTAATCTCGAGCTGCGTTCCTCCATAATCAAAAAGCATGAGAAAAGAAATGGAGGGGCAAGTGTATTGTCAAGGTATGATTGTCCTCTAGCTTATTTTAAATCAAGACTAGTATTTATTTATGACTACTTCATAACAAAATTATCTATTGACAGCCTGCAGTGGAACTATCAACTAGTCTTATGGAAATAAGTTTAAATAATCTATAATAAGACATTGATTAATGGTATATCAAGTGGCTGAAATCATTAACTTGGTATCGTGAAGCATTCAGGGAACTGCTCACAGGTAGACCACCTGTATGCAATGCAGTATTAAACAGAATTTCACCCTTCTAAGTCCACTGAAGTCAGTGGATTCAGAAGGGTGTAACTGTTTATTATTAGGCACACAATGTGAGAGAAACTCAAAAGTTGATGGAAATTGTGCAACACCTAAATAAAGCAAGACAAATGCTGTTTCTATCCATAGCAGAATAAAATGGGTAAGCGAGAAGAGAAACTTTAGCCCATGTATTCTAAAATAAATCTCTTCTTTTATCAAAGCAGTCAGAAATTCCTTTCCAGCTATACACAATTAATTCACAACTTCTTTGTACTCGGATTCAGTGCCATGTAATGGACCACTTTGCATTTCTGTATAAATAGTATTTATGTCAGTTTGATCCTAGTAAAGTCAAGGATGGAGGTGCAGATGCCAGGTGTTAGTAGAGAACTGCCAGGTGTGAGTTATTCTGGCCTTGAGATCCTGTAGATATTTTTTTTTAAGATATGGAATGGTGTGAAAATGTACAGCCAGATTTTTGTAAAAGGAATGCATTATTTCAGTCAAATGAATAAAAGTTGGGAGGTAAACTTTTACTGGTGGTAGTGGTGGAAAGTGCCATCAAGTCACAGCTGACGTATGCTGACCCCATAGGGTTTTCAAGATAAGAGACGTTCAGAGATGGTTTGCCATTGCCTGTCTGCGCATCACGACCATGGTGTTCCTTGGTGGTCTCCCATCCAAATACTAGCCTGGGCTATCCAGATATAAATGGGTATAAAATAAGTACTTACCAGCTATTTGGAAGGCCTGAACATGATGTGGGTACTATAAATCATATTATTACTTGATTTTTATCTTGCCCTTTTTCCATGGTGCTCAGGTTAGCCTAGGCAGAGAGTGACTGGCCAAGGTGAGCAGTGAACTTCATGGCACAGTGGGGATTTGAACTTGGGTCTTTCCAGTTCTAGTTCAACTCCTACATCTCACTGGCGGTCTGGCCTTCCTTTTGAGAAGATCCAGCGTGGTGTAGCGGTTAAGAACAAGGGACTCTAATCTGGAGAACCAGGTCTGATTCCCCACTCCGCCACATGAAGCCTGCTGGGTGACCTTGGGTCAGTCACCGTTCTCGCAGAACTCTCTCAGCCTCACAAGATACGTGTTGTGGAGAGAGGAAGGGAAAGAGATTGTAAGCCGCCTTGAGACTCCTTAAGGTAGAGAAAAGTGGGGTATAAAAAAAAACATTCTTCTGAATGGGATGGGCATTTACCATCAAAACTATGCTGTATTTTCACCACACAATGACTAAACAGAGCTTCGTTGTGGAAGGTGAATGTCTCGCCATTCCTGGTTTCCTCTCAAGAAAGTTACAGGTTCTTTAGGGATAGAAGAGAGAATAGGGGTCCTCCTGGGGTCAGTTTTTAGCTTCCATAGCTTCCATACAGGCAAGTACTTTACTGCTAGCCTACCGTATTTGGTGACAAAGTCGGAGGATAACACAGGGTCACTAAGCCACACCAGCCTCATAGCACCAATAGGCCAGAAGGGATCTACTGATACCTCCCTGACTCCGTAAAGATTTCTGGATCAGGCTTACTTGCTATTCTCTTGAAGTCCTGAGTTCAGCTTGGTGTAGTGGTTAAGTGTGCGGACTCTAATCTGGGAGAACCGGATTTGATTCTCCACTCCTCCACTTGCACCTGCTGATGTGACCTTGGGTCAGTCGCAAGCTCTGGCACAGCTGTCCTTGAAAAAGA